ATTGCCTCAATGCCTACAACCACTGGGGCACCTCAGGCTGAAGCCTGGAGCAGGGAATTCAGCCCAGGGCTCCCACCTGGGTGACAGGGAGATAACCACTTGATCTGTCACCTGCTGGTTCTCAGGATCTGCTGAGTCCAGAGCTAGGAATCAGATCCACACATGCTGGTTTGGGGTGCAAGCTCCCTGATGGCCACTCAACCTTCAGGCCAAGTGCCCTGCCCTGCTCTTTGCTCATATGGTCATGCCACACAATCACTTTTTGTATCTTGAGATTATTGGCTGTTACTGTGTAATAAACCATCCCCACACTTAATGCCTTTTGAAAAAAATAATCTTGGGTGAGCCCGGCACGGTGGCCTAGCGGCTAAAGCCCTTGCCTTGAGTGTGCTGGGATCCCATTTGGGTGCCGATTCAGATCCTGGCAGCCCCGCTTCTCATCCAGCTCCCTTCTTGTGGCCTGGGAGGGCAGTCAAGGGCGGCCCAGGGCCTTGGGACCCTGGACCTGTGTGGGAGACCTGGAGGAGCTCCTGGCTCCTGGCTTTGGATCAGTGCAACACTGGCCATTGTGGTCACTTGGGGAGTGAATTACCGGATGGAGGATCTTCCTCTCTGTATATCTGCCTTTGCAATGAAAATAAATAAATCCTTTTTTAAAAATGCCAAAATGATAGATGTTTTAAAAGAAAAGAAAAAAATAGTCTTAATTTATTTATTAGAGAGGCAAAGTGACTATTCTTCGAGCTGTGAGCAAATGCCCACTGGAGCCAGGGTTGGGCCAATTTGAAGCAGGAGCCAGGAAGTCCATCTAGGTCTCCCTTGTGGGTGGCAGGGACCCAAGGCCTTGGGCTGTTATCTGCTGCCTTTGAGTGTATCTGCAGAGGCCTGGAACTGCAGAGCAGCCAGAACTCTCCTCAGGCACTCTGTGATGGGGGTGCAAGTGTCCCAGGCAGCAGCTTAACCCCCCAGTGACCACTTCTCATTGGCTTGCCAACGCATCTGTGGCAGGCCGTGGATCCTTGGGTCACCTCGGGCTGGACTCTGACTCAGCTCTGTTGCACACACAGAGCTCTCCCGAGGGTGGGCGGCGCTTGGTCCAGGCTCGCCCAGGCAGATCTCACACAGTGGTCACAGTGAAGCAAGAGGAAGAAGTCATGTGGAGCTCTTTTCTAAGCCTCTGCATACGTCAGGGTTGCAATGTTCTGTCACCGGAGCTAGTCCTGTGACCAAGACCAGAGTGTGTGCGACAGGCTGTGAAGTGTGTGGGCTGCAGAAACAGATGTGGGTGTTGAGGTGGTCAGCTGCCATGGCTTTATGTTGAGGCCTATTCGTCCATGCGTGCGCAGTCTACGGCATATGGCAGATGTTTCATCCAACAGGTTGTCAAGGACACCATGGGTGGTTTCCACCTTTGGCTGTTACCAGTCGGGATGTATGGGGTTAATGCTCCTGCGTCTCTGGGCTGAGTCCCTGAAGCCGCCTGTTTGTGGGGTGAACGTGGGGGATACAGGCACAGGGATTGTTCTCCAGAAATTGCTTACCTGCGTCCCATTGCCTCCCAGACACCCTTCACCTGTGTCCTGTGGTGCTGTGCGCTCCTGTTGGCACTGTGGGGACCCGGGCAGGTCCACTGTTCCCTCTGAGGCTCAGATAAACACAGGGAAAGCATCCACACGAGGCTTGGGGGAGAATGAAGGGTGTGGCTGCCTCTGCCGAGGTACAGAGGGACACGGGAGCAGCAACTGCACCTGGACCCGGGGTTGGTTTTCACCTTGGATCACAGCTAAGACATGGGTGTGTGTGTGCGTACATGTGTATGTACACAGACTAAATTGTTGCCTAGAAGGTCCTGAGATGCTGCTGTTGGTATCAAGTTCTCTCCAAAAGAAACCTCAGGGGGTGGAGGAAGCGGAAAGAAAGCCTGTCGGCTTCTGCTTTGTATCCTGCAGTGGGCACACTGAGAAAGAGGCGTCACTCCAACAGACCAGGCCACAGTCCCACCTTCCCTGGGGACTTCGGGGAGGCCCACTGTCAGTGTGTTGAATCGTGCCAAGCTTGGTCTCAAGGACTGTCTAGACCTAGGGCCCCAGGGCCTGCTGTGGGGCTGATTCCCCATGCCATGGTGGTGTGGCTATCAGGAGTGGCGTGTTTGACTTCTAGCTGACTCCCTGTATAATCACTGGGTGGGGGACTGGTTCCTGCAATCTTGCTTAAGGACTTACCCCAAATGCCCATGGGCTAGGGAGGGCAGCCCAGAGTATCCCAGTCGCTCCTCCCTCAAGTGCTCTGAGTGACCTGGCAGGTGCAGCAAGAAGGAGGCACCAAAGCTACCTGTGCAGCCCCCTGAAGAGAGGGGCAAGTGGCTTGGCCAGGGTTGTGATCCGAAGGGAAGCGGGTCCCCTTCTGCACACTGAGATCCAGACGGTTTGTGCCTGGCAGGTAGTGGAGATTAACAAGGGTGGCTACATGGGTTCTGATCCCAGCTCCAAGGACAAGCCAACTCTGTGACCTCTGGCATGCAGCTTCATCCCTTGTGCCCGCTTCCCTGTCTGCAAGATGGAGATGATACTCCCAGCATCGTGGCATTGTCTGGGGACTCACAGGGTCTTGTGAACTGTTTCCTATCGTGTGTCTGGGCCCTCGCTGAGCACCACGCAGCGTCTGCTCTCACCGCGGCGCAGGCTCAGGAGCAGGGCTCTTGTTTCATAGCACTTCCTGCCACTATAAGAGCCCACGTACCGCTAGCAGCCAGCTTTTCATCACAGTGACTGAAACACAGCAAGGGTTTTAGAGGCTCTCAGTCTGAGATTGGGTGGCCCCTGGAGGCTGGCATCTGAGGCAGGTGGTGGATGGTGCGACATGTGTGCAGGGAGGGTCAGGCTGGGAACAGGCCCAACTGCCTAGATCCTAGGGCACAGTTGCTGTGACCCAAAGAGCTTATGCTGGAGCCGCCTCGCAGACATCATGATTAGACAGCTCCACTCTAAATCTATCAGCCATTCAGATACTCCATTAGCCATCAACTTAAGGCTATTGTGCTTCAAGGGTCTTCACTAGCCGGAGAGCCAGATCCTGTCAACCCATAACAATGGCTGTTCTGGGAAATAGCAGATCCCAGCAATTGGCGGAACATAACTGGGACAGTAGCCGCTATTTACCCAGCACCAGCTCCAGGCTATATCTGTGACCTCTAATTCCGGGCGGTAGCCAGGTAAAGAAGCAGGCTCAGAGAGGGCTAGCATCTCACTCCCTGCCACTCAGCTGCAGGTGAAGGAGCTGAGATTCAAGTCCAGGGCTGGTTGAGGTGCAAGATCTTCTCCCTGTAGGACCCCTCCATTCTGGAAGCCTCGTGTCTGGCCCTGTGCTGCAGGCCTACTGTCATGCCTGTAGCTGTGAGGCCCTGAGCCTGCAGGGTGCGCAGGTAGCAAGGGAGGAGACACTGAGGTCTGTCTTGGGCACACACTTCTCCAAGGTCTGGTCTCTGTATGGGATCGGGATACTCACAGGGTGGTCGTAGGGATCCTCTGGCACCCAGTTCTCTGGCCCCACTGTTCTTCCCCACCTGTTGCCCAGCGCCTTGAGTACTGTTCTCTCCTATGGCCCCTTTCCTCATGTGCTTGTTTTTGGATGAGAGGGTTAATTTGGGTCCTATTCCCCCATTTTTGTCCTCTTTTGTTTTATATTTAATTTTTTAATCTATCTGGAAATAATTTTAAAAAGATTTATGTCATTTTTATTTGAAAGGTGCAGTCACAGAGAGAAGGAGAGGCAGAGTGAGAAATCTCTCATCTGATGGTTCATTCCCCTAATGGCTGCATGGGCCAGACCTGAGCCATCCAAAGCCAGGTGCCAGGAGCTTCTTCCAGTCTCCCCCACAGGTGCGGGGGCCCCAGGCCTAGAAACATCCTTGGCTGCCTTCCCGGGCCATAAGCAGGGAAGTGGAGCAGCTGGGACATGATCCAGCACCCTTATGGGATGCTGGCTCCATAGGCAGAGGCTTAATCTACTATATCTTAGCTGCAGCCCCTAGAATTTATTTTCTTATCTGCCTTGGGGACCTATTTCCCTCTGCCTGGCTATCCTGGCATGTGACTAGACACCTGGTTTGACACTGAAAGTGAGGTAAGGCTGATGCTTTTGTTGTTAATGGATTTGGGTTTGGGAGCCCATAGGATTGTTGGTCTGCCCCAGGCCACCCAGCGTACCTGCATTGTTGGTGATGGCCTCGCAGCCTCTGCCTGACTTCCCTGGTATAAACCTTCCATTTGAGAGAGCGAGTAGCCGAGTAACCAGGATTTTACCTTTTAAGATGTGGAGCAAAGAAACCATAATTTGCTTGGGGGATTAAACTGAAACCTGGGAATTTCCTAAGATTTTTTAGAAAATTTTTTCCAAGCCACCATGCTAACTGCCAGTGTGACCGTGAGGCCCCAGTGTGGAGGGGCTGGCAGCTGATCCTCGCCTGCTGACCAGGAGCTCCCTGGCCTGTTCCTACTTCCTCTGGTCATTTTGACACAGCTGTGTTCTGAGAATCTGTACAGAATTTTACAACGCATCACCATGATCTAAAGGGGAGGCCCCAGGACAAAGAACTGGGAGATGGCTTCTCACCTGTCTTAGAGAATGCTCACTACTAGCTCATGTGTGTTCTTGGAAGATCACCCTGAACGCAACATAAGACAACTTGGCCATTTCCTGCTGACTGGCATCTCTGTGTTAATGTATATCCATCCAGTTCTAGAGTGAATAAGTGAAAACTGACCAGACACCTGCTTGTGTGCATTGTTTACTTATGATCAGAATTCACTACCAGCGGGCACCCACTTAGACCCTAAGGCCTTAGACCCTTAGACCCTTAGACCCACTTAGACCCTGGCGGTTCCCAGTGGGCCTGGCTGGGAGCCTGGAACCCCAGGGTATGGTGGCCCTGAGGATGAGGGAAGGGGCTCCCAAAACAGGTTCTTCCTGGCCTGGCTGAGTGTCTCACTTTGTTTCCGCAGATGACATGGCCGAGCTCCTCCTCGGGGAATCCAAGCTGGAGCAGTTCTTGAAGGAGCACCCTCTGCGGCAGGGGTCCAGCCCCCGGGGCCCCCGGCCGCAGCTCACTGAGGTCCGCAAGCATCTCACTGCTGCCCTGGACCGAGGGAACCTCAAGGTACTGTGCGCCTCTGTGTGGGAGAGGAGACAGCAGGGAGATGCCGGGCCCCACCTCTGCTGGGCTGGATGTGGGCAGGAAGGAGGCCCAGGGTTGGAGCACATGACTTCTTGACCTCTTAGAAGTAGGCTAGCTTCCCATGCTGCCTGTGTGTCATCTCCCAGGCTGGCTCACCCCATTAGGCTTTCTCTGACAAGTCTTCAGTGATGTGTCATCCTGCACAATGGCCCTGACCTTGGAAATAGCTCCCCTGTGAGGCCCAATGCTCAGGCTGATGCTTGGCCGTGCTGTAGCATGGTGAGGGTTGGTCTGTTCACAGCTCCCTGCCCGAGCCGTGGCACTGTGAAAGGCTACTGTAGCCCAGAGCTGTGTGTGCTTTGTGCTGGTGCTTGCAGGCCTGGTGCCGCCTGGTGAGGAAGGGGACCCGGAGCTAAGCCTGTCCGAGCAAGGCCTCTGCCCCGGTGCTCGCCTCGTTCACCTGCTCTGCTCTCGGTTCTCTACTGATACTCGGAGTTCTCTTCCTGCTTGCAGGCCTTCCCTTCCCAGCTTCTCTGGAACACCCCCTCGTGTGTGTCTACTTTGCCTGTCCTGCCCCTTGCCCTGTCAGCTTACATTTCCTGGCTGTGCCCCTCTGAGCATGCTGAGTGCTGCTGTCCCAGCCTCTGTGTGCAGGCACCGGCTGCGTCCCAGCCCTGTCCTGCCCCTCTGTTCAGGCCCTTCCTGTTGTATGACTTGTTCTCCACGAGCACAGTGTTCCGTGGGCTTCAGAACTCTGTCCTTTTTTTCCTTTGTAACCTCAATGATTTCTCCTTCATTTTTCTCTTCCCATCTCTGCATCCTGAGGGGCTCCTGCTGTGGCCTTGGCTGTTGTCTATGCACATTTCCTGAGGGGCAGTCTTGCCTACCTGGGCTTTCCCTTCTACTGCATTGGAAGCTTAGGCTCGTGGGGGGCACTTTCTTGTTTGGGATGTAAATCCTGGGGCTTGGGAGGGGAACTTGTACCCCCATCTGGCTGTGGCTGAGGGCATGGGCGACACGTGGACAAATTAACTTGTATTCCTATATATGCCTCCTGGAAACCCCAATCTATCCTCCTCACAAGAATGGCCTCAGAACGTCTGCACTGGACACAGCGCCAGGCCCTTGGGAGGTGGTCCTGGAATGTCACTTTGTCATGGGACACTTGCTATGTCAGGATTCGCTGCAGTGTTTGGGCCTTGGCCACCGGGACTTGAATTTCCTCTCTCAATTTCTTTCTACACTGAGTGCTTAGGGTTGTGGAACTGTTGTCTCCATACCCACTGGTGACTCTAGGGTGGGAGGGAGGCGGCCAGCAGACACTCCCAGGGATGGTTGTTGGGGTCACATGTCCTAGCAGGAAGTGTGGGGGTGTGACTGTGTAAGGGAGATGTCTCTCCCATTCCTTTCCCACTTCTAAGCCATTGATCTCACCACATGCTGATAGTAGATGGACCACCCAATATGATAGAAAGAATGTTGAGTTTCAGGTGTCCCCACATGCAGATTTATGAGCTGTGTGATTGCAGCACCTGTTCAACCTTGTTAAGCCTCAAGTTTCTCGTTGTAGGTGTGCTAGGCTCCAAGCCATCTGAGGCTTCAGTGAGTTTTCTTGACACTGTGCATTAGGTACTTGTCATTTGCTCTGATGTGATCGATTGTACCTGGAGAGTTTGTTTGCTGTTGTTGTTTTCCACTACTGGAGTTGTACCTTTGGCGTGGGCGTGGACCCCGCTAGCACCCGTGAGTGAGTGGCTTCCTCTTTGCTGGAAATCAAGTCCAGCGTGTCTCAGCCGAGCTGAGGCTGGAAGCAGCAGAGCTGGAGGAACCTGGGTTCTTACTGAAAGAGCCCTGTGCTGGGGCTGATGGATGGCATGAAAACCTTGCTTATCTGAGCAGGGTGGCTGCTGGCACCACATTGGGTTCGTGTTCCTACCTCCCAGGCAACCACATGGCCTTGGCCTTGGCCAAGCTGTTTCCACTGCTGTGCAGTACTGCCGGAGCTTGCCCAGCAGGGCTCTCCCACTGGGTCTGTTCTGTGCCTTTGGCCCTTCAGTTTCTTTTGTTTAAACTTTTCTTATGATAAAATACACATAAAATTTTGACATTGTCACCATTTAAAATTCCATTTATTTACCTTTTTAGGAAGTAAGGTTATTTTTTATTGGAAAGACAGATCTACAGAGAGAAGGAGAGACAGAGAAAGATCTCTCTACTGGTTCACTCCCTAAGTGGCCACAATGGCCAGAGATGAGCCAATCTGAAACCAGGAGCCAGGAGCTTCTTCCAGGGCCATCCTTTATTGCTTTCCCAGACCACAAGCAGGGATCTATTTATTTACGGTTTATTTGAACAGCAGAGAAGAGGAGAGAAAGGGAAAGAAGGAGAGAGAGAGAGAAAGAGAAAGAGAGAGAGAGAGAGAGAGAGAGAGAATGAATTCTCCTCTGGTTCACTCCCCAGATAAGCGCAATAGCTCAGACTGAGCCAGAATCTGGAAACCTGAAGCTACCTCTGGGTCTCCCATGTGGGTGGCAGGAGTCCAGGCATATCGGGTGCCTTCCTATTAGCAAGGAGCGGGAACATAAGTGGAGTATCTGGGACTCTAACTGGCACTCTGATGTGGAATGCCAGTGTCACAGGGGGCAATTTTAACTTGCTGTGCCACAGTACTGGCTGAAATTTTATTGATGTATTCATCCATCCATACATCCATCCATGTTGAAAGAGGAGAGAGACCTGCATCTACTGGTTCACCCCTCAAGTGCTCTCAACAAGTCATAGTTGGGCCAGGTGGACATCAGGAGGCAGGGGTTCAGTCTGGGTCCCCTACGTCGGTGACAGGAACCCAATCTTTTGAGGCTTCACAGCTGCTTCCAAGGGTGGAATCTGTAGGATGCAGCCAGATCTTGAACCCACACATCCCATGTGGGATGAGGGCACCCTGGCAGCATCTTCACTGCCACACCAGGCAGCTGGCCTGTTCCCCTTTCTGAGGGTCCATGCCTGTCATGTTAAGCACCCTTGCTGGGCACCTGTCACCACCATCCCTCTGTGGAAATCTTGGATCTTCCAGGTCAGAACCTCCCCATGTTGGACCTCCCTTCAGCTCACCCTGAAGCCTACCGTTCTCTGATGTTCGAAGGCTTAGGGTAAAGGGTGGGCAGGGAGTTGGGAAGGACCTCACTGAATCTCCTAGAACATCTTTCCAAGATTCCCAAGCCTGACCTGGCTCCCCAATCCTGATGGAGGTGCTCTGTGCTGGGTACTTTTATTGTTATTACTGCTATTAACATTCATGGCTTTTTTTCCTTTCCTCTCAAGTCTGATCTGACTTCTCTGTCTCCAGATGTGATTTTAATTCTCAGATATGGACCTCTGCCTTGGCCACTCCCAAACCTCTTTTGCTTCCTTCAACTTCTTTTGTCTGTTCTGCTGCCCTGCCCAGTGCTACCTGTTGTCCCCGATCCCTTGCAAGTTGGCAGCTTGGGGAAAACATTTGTTTTCTCCATTTCTTTCTAGTCACGTCCCCTGGGCTCCATGTGCACCTGTGCATGTAACCCTCTGTGATAGCTGTAGTTCACACAGCAGCCCTACTTCCCAGGGTGCTTCTGCAGCCAGAGAAGTCCAGCCCACAGTAGCCAGAGCTCCGAGGAGAAGGCCTGGGAGAGAGCATACACCCGGATCATTTCATGGACAAGTGGCCTTGTTGGTGCCCAAGCTACACAGGGTCGGGAGGGAAGGCGGAGAGCAGGCCTGCTGGGCTGGGCCGGGGCCCACGGGAGATGACAGCATCAGAGACATGAGAGCATCAGCCTCGAGGGAGGGCGGCTCAGTGACCTCAGCTTCCTGAGCTTGAATGGCCCTGGGAAGAAAGCAGGTCCTGATCTCTGCAACTGTTGGAAATCGTTTTCTGGGATCATTTGGGCTGCAGTCGGGGCTGCACCTCCGGTGCTGCGGCTGGGCCTGCCAGCCTGGCTGGGGGCCTCCTCTGTGAGGCAGGGGCTTCTGTGTTTCCTGGGTAGCCATCTCCAGCTCCAACCCCAGGGAGCTGTGGGGCTTTTGTTTTGCTTTGTTTTATTTTCACGTCAGTTTTTGGGATAAATGGTCTGAATATCCTTTGCCCAACATGCTTGGAGCCGAAAGAATTTTTGTATTTCAGAGTTTTTCAGATTTTGGAATATTTGCCTAGGCCCTGCTGATGGGGCACCTCTAATCCCAGAATCCAACATCTAAAATACTCCAATGCTGAACGTGTTTCGGATTTTGGAGTATTTTGGATTTTGGATTTCAGGTTTCAGATCTGGTATGCCTAATCTGTGTGATGCATGTAACACACACTTCACCCAGCTGAAGTGTATAACTCGGTGGTCTTTAGTGTGTACATCACCACCATCAGTTCTGGAACATTTTTATCATTTTATCAAAAAGAAACCCTGTAATTGTTAATGATCACCATCTAGTCCAGTTCTCCAGCCCTAGTGTATAGATCTGATATTTTAGATCTGACTGATATTTCATACAAATGGCAAATAACAGTATATGACATTTTGTGACTTGCTTTTGCATGTGGTATTAAGTTCTTGGGGTTCACAAATGTGGTAACTCCTACATTTATTAGGACCCAGTCATTCCATTTGGGGGGTGGACCTCACTTTGCTGTGCATGTGGGTGGTGCCCCCTTCTGGCTGTCGGGCCCAGCTCCTCTGTGAGCAGCCACCTGCAGGCTTTTGTAGGGGACCCCAATGAGCTTCACGGCGGCAGATGGTTGGGCTCTAAGGGGTGTCTTACACGAGCTCGAAGGAAAATGTTTGTTTTTCTCCTTTTCCTTCTAGTCAGAATTCCTACAAGAATCCAATCTGATCATGGCCAAGTTGAATTATGTGGAAGGCGATTATAAGGAAGCCCTGAACATCTATGCACGGGTAGGCCTGGACGACCTGCCACTGGTGGCCGCGCCTCCCTACCGGCTGCGGGTGATCGCTGAGGCCTACGCTACCAAAGGTGAGGCCTTCTTTTCCCTGCATTGTCCTGTCCCATAGAGCTAGTAGAGTGGCCCTTGGCTAGAGACGGGCTCTTGGCAGCCCCTTGCCAGGTCCCAGAGACACCCACTGCTTGCTTTGGGTCATTGTAAGCCTGGGTCACCAGGGCCCTAGTCCTCCGCTTAGCTCTGGGGGAAGACTATTGTGAAGTTCTTTTATAACCAACATGTCACATAAGCAGCCCTGTGTCTGGCAGTTAAGCCAGTGTCCGTGTGCAGGGTACCAACAGCTGACTGCTTTTATCTGTTAAGGCCACCTCTGGGTTAGAGCAGGCCGATTGCTTGGCCATCACTGTGACCATCAATCCTGCAGCAGCTAACGTGGTTCCTACTTGGGTTGAGGAATGTGTGCACGCTGCCCGAAGGAATTGGGATCTGGTGCAGGAGGATGGAAGTACACAGAGGGAACAAAGTGAGCTTGTGCACAGGGCCAGCCTGGGCCAGGTGATGATTCCTCAGGTTCTCAGGTTTGTATCTGCACCTTCCTCCAGTACCACCCCAGCTTTCTCCTCCTTACGTCTTACCCTTGCCAACATGTCTTCCTGCAAGCTCCAATCTCCGATTTACATGTCCTGTCTACCCATTCTGAGTACATTAGGGTCATGTGCGGAACAGGTTAAAATTAGCAGTACCGTTGTCAGGTACCCCACCGGTCTGTGAGCTTCCAACAGCAGAAGTTCAGTCCTGGCTACTTGCCATCCCTGGGACCTAGCCTGGTGCCCTGCACAGAATGGCTGCTCAATTACTGAACGGAGTTGACCAAACCCTCCTTGCTTACAGGGCCCAGGTGCTCAGCCTGTCAGGCTGTCCTGCGAGCCTTTGCTCCTAGCGTGTCATGGCCACATGTGTTTCCCTTACCTTTAGGAAATGTACTGGGCAGTTTTTGATGACTCAGCCTTCCCTGCCAGTTCTGGGGGAGCACCTGTGGCTTGTGTACCTCTGCCTTCACTACCTGTCGGGGGCCCCTTCCCACAAGGCTGTGCATATCAATTCACTGCTCTCTGAGGGGCTTCTGCATCAGTTTCCGCCCAGCTCCCCTTCTCTTCCATCTCCTCACCCTAAGTAAAGAACAGGGAATGGGAGCAGAAACAGCAGAGCAGCTCTTCAGCCTGTGGTGGGGTTGATGTAGCAGCAAAAGCAGAGGGGCCTGGCCTGCTACATGCCCAGGCAATCTCACGGACTCTGCCCACACAGTCACAGATATTGTTCTCACAAGGTGGGGGGAGGCTGGGAGAGCAGGCAGATGCCACACTGGACCCTGCATCTGCTGGAATGTGGTGCCCTGTTGTGGCAAGGACGGTGGGAGCTGTAAGAGGCTTGGCCATCTAGATGACTCTTCTCAACAGCCCTGGGTGCCATAAAGGGACTGCAAACACGTCAGCACTAACTTGAGGTGCTCTTGCAGCCCAGCAGGTCTAACAGGGCAGGGCAGCTCAACACCCCAAGGTCCTTGTCCCTCCAGGGTCCTCAGGGAGCAGTCCATCACTGCAGGATGGGAGCTAGGCTGTTAGCACGATGTAGCACCTGGAAAGCAGAGGAGAGAGGTACCCAGAGGCAGCGGAAGTGACGTACCCCAGTCCTGCTGCCAGGCAACCTGTCAGTAAGAATTACTCCTGGGAGCACAGCCGCCGGATACCCAGGGAAAAGAAAGGAAGAGGTTGGGGGCTGGCAAGCCTGGGACTGTATATGTTCTCCGGAACCTAGGAGAAAGGTGGCTTGCACTCAGATAAAAGAACGGGGCTACCAGGACTTTGGGGCTTGAAGGATTAATGTATGCCAGGAGGGAAATTATGAACTTGGGAGCAGCAGGTGCTCAGCCTCGTGTCCAGGCCACCTGGGAGCACAACAGAGAACTACTTTATCATGTGTGCGGGGCCTTCACAACCATCTTACATACAAACATTTTCTTCCCTAGCAGGGTGGACTGTGCTAGAAAGTATACAGGATATGGCGCACATCACTCAGTAAGCCAGCGACAGGCCTGGGACAAAGGGAGGTTTCTGTCATGTGCAGCACCTCCATGCCAGGTTAGGAGGCAGTGCCATGTTGGAAGCTAGGGACCTGTGAATGTGGCAGCAGATGGGCAGACTCCTGCCGGTGTCCAGGAGGCAGCCAGTTATGGCACCAGGGAAGAGGCCGGGTCAGTAGTTCAGTGGGTCTTTTTGTCTGGCAGCTAATTTGGCTGTTGGACTATGAGAGCTGGGATTAGAGGGAAATTTTTAGGTACCATCAAAGAAAGGGAAGTTGTTGATGATGTTGAAGGATGACTCAGTAGTCAGAGACAGCTGGGGAAGTAACCCTCATGGGACTGGTTGAGGGTGGGGTTATTGTATGTGTCAGACACTTTACTGGTCTTGCTCAGGGCCCTCCAGGGACATTAGAGGTCTTCGGAGTTGGACCATATTAATGACTTTGTCATAGAAGGTTATTCACATTGGGAAGGACCCGTTGCTTCCAGCACTGTTCCTTTAAGAGCCAAGAACAATTCTTACAACTGTCTGATGCAGGTCTGTCTTCATCAGAACATGTTAAATGCAGTTGGCTTTTCCCAGGAGAGACAGCCATCCCTGGATGAGGCCACAGGCTTTCTTCCCTTACCAGCCAGGAGCCAGGGGCCCATCCTGTGAGCTCCCAGATATCTCTCCAGTCCTCCTCGGAAATGCTAGGGTGTGATGGGAATAGCAGTGGGGAGGAGTTGACTGCTTGCATACCTGGTGCCTCTTTCACTGTGCGAGGGATGCCTAGGTTCTCTCTTTGGCTGCTGGGGATGCAAGGCCGCACCCAAGGACAGGATGTTAGGGAAGGAGCACTCTACAGGAATGGAACTGGGAATTGAGCCCAGGTACTGATACAGGATGTGGGTATCAACCAATATGCCAGATATTTTTGAAGCAGTTGCACTTGGAACATACCAGCTTTTGGCTGGGTCACCCTCGGTTCATCTTATTTGGAATTTGTCGAGCTTCTTGTTTGCTTATAGTTGTGTCTTTGATAGAATTGGGGAAGTTTTTAGTCATTATTTCTTCAACTGGCTACTATTTTCACGTACTGTCTTTTTCTGTCCTTTCATTGTCAATCTGTTTATCTCTAGAGATCCAAACAGACTCTCTTGTTGACAGCATATAACTGGACCATCTTTATTCATCCATCCTGCCAACCTCTTTGATTTAATGAAGGATTTTAACCTGTTCATGTTTAAAGTAATCCCTGAGGGGGAAGCAGTTAGGCATGTGAGAGAAGCTTGGGTTCACTACCCCACTGTGGCTCCGGACTCCACCTTCCTGCTGGTGCAGGGCTCTTGGGAGGCAGTGGTGATGGCTCAAGGTACTGGCTTCTCTCTCAACACAGGAGATCTGGATTGCGTAGCTGTCTCCTGTCTTCTGCCCCAGCCCAGTTCCGGCGGTTGAGGGCATTTAGGAAGTAAACCAGTAGACGGGAGGTCTCGGTCTTTCTTTGCCTTTCAATGAATGAATGAGTAAAAAAATGTAGTAATTACTGCTAATAAGGGACTTTCTGTTATTTGCTGTTTTCTGTGTGTCTTATGTGGGTTTTGTTTTATCCCTCATTTTCTGCATTATTATTGTCCTTTGTGTTTAGTTGATTCTTTTGGTAATCAAGTGTTTAACTTCTTTTCTTTCATGTTATTCTGTAGTTTTTGTTGTTGTTGTTGTTTGTTTCCACAGAGATTACATCCAGCCTCCTAGAGTTGTAGCAGTGTAATTTGAATTTATACCACATGAGATGCCAGACATTGTAGGTGGCAGCTTAACGTGCTATGCCACGATGGCTACCCCCTCTCACTGTTGAAAGGCCACTCTGCCAGACACAGAGCTCTTGGTGGACATTGTCCTTCTCTCCACTTGTTGTGATGTGGTGTCCATAGCTTCCGATGGATCGCCTGCGGGTGATCATACCAAGATCTCTTGGTGTGTGTGAAGTTAGTTTTCTGGCTTTGTTTGCAGCTCAGTTTGGGTCTCCATTCATCTTACTTGGAGTCTTGGTTCTTCACGATTGTGTTGGTGTTTCTGGGTTTCTTACGTGCCTCTATATATTTAGGATCCCATTGTAAATTAGTGCAGCAAGAGAAACTTGATAGTGGCTGTATTAACTCAACGTCTTAACAACACCAGGTCTTCTAATCCATGAACATGGGATGTCTTTGTTCTTGTCTTTCAAAAAGACTTTGAAGTTTTTTGGTATATAAATCTTATATCCCTTCTGTTAAATTTGCTCTAAGTGTTTTATACTTTTTGTATTAATATAAGTGGCATTGTTTTCTTATTTCTTTACTAATGTATAGAAATCCAACTGATTTTTCTGTTTAATCTTGCATCCTGTATGTTTGCTGAGCTATTGGCTCTTTTTTTTGTAGGTTTGTAGTTTTCTATATATGAGATCAAGTTGTTTGTAAGTAATAATTCTTTCCAATCTAGATGCCTTTGCTTCTTTTTGTGGTACACACTGGCTGGCACTTCCAGAAGAAAATTATGTTTCCCTGTGTTCACGGGTCTCTAGGTATCCCTCTGTCTGTCCTATTTCGCGGGATTGTGATTGTGGTCTCTCTGTTTCATCCTGGCTAAGGATTTTCTGTCTGTTTAAGCATGTCCTTACCCTATCCCGCCATCTTGCTTCTTTAGGAAGCAGCCACTTTAAACTTGATGACTTGGAGGAGCTGACTTTGTTTATCCCATGTTATAGAGCATATGCAATACTGTCACAGTCAAGCAAAGAATCACTATATTTATAAGTGATTGACAACATCACCCTGATGGATAAATCCTATTTCGTTTTCTTGCCAGGAAACTTCTAGCTGCTGCCAGGTTTTAAGCAGGAGGAATGACTTAATTAAGATCATAAGCAAAAAAGATCTTTCTGGCATAGAGCAAGGAACAGATTAGAAGGGATCAAGACTGCAGGGATGGAGCCTATGTGGTAGGGAGGGAGCTGGCTGTGGGACCTTACTCCCTGTTCTGCAAGCTGTTTCCCAGGTACCCAAGTCAGTTGGCTGAGATGGGTGTGGCCAGCAGGGGCACTGGGCAGAGCATTAGGGTGCCAGAGGAGAGTGAAGCCAGGGTATTTCCTCAGGCAGCACCTTGGGATGTGGTCCTGTCTCTTCAGTTGTTCCAGCTCTGTGGGGTGTAGCTTCATCTGCTAGCCCCACTTTTGGGGATCAGAACCCCACCCCTGCCACCGCCCCTGTGCTTCCCAGCCTTCAGGATATGAGCTGGCTCCCTGCTACAGCTGGGCTCTGAGATGCAGAGCCATCCTGGGGGCCTCTCACCTCTTTCATCTTCCAGGCAACTCCACACATAAAGTTCCCTCTGTTTGGGGGAACTAAGAGTGCTGCCTTTGAACTCTCCTTACTGGGTTCTGACAGATAGCAGCTACTGTCACTGTCAGCAGATTCTGGCAGTGTCCTGGGGAACTGGTGTGGACAGGTAGTTGAGGGACAAATCAAAGCGACTGTGAAATTTCTGGCTGAGCTCACTGGGTGGGTGATGATGCCATGCCTGGTGATCCTTAGGAACAGGAGGCCTCACTTTGTTTGCACAGTCAGGGAAGTGATTGGGTTGGAATTGAACATGGTGAAATCTTTGTGTCCACCAGGGGGTGCTGCCCAGAGACCAGCTGGAATTCTGCGGCTTGGGCTCCACTGTTGTTGGTTTAGTGGGTTGGGATTCAGGGATTCTCTGTAGGCACAGGATGTGGTTACAGCCCAGCAGTGGCTGAAGCTCTTCAGGGACCACAGGGTGAGTGGGGCAAGAACTGGGCCTGGAGCCCCGTGAGGCCCAGTGTGTAACAGGGAAGTGTGACCTGAAGTCAGGGTGTCTGGCCTTTGCCTGAGGTTTCCTTGGCGTGAAACACGTGAGCAATTGAACCTTTGTGGGGGAAGAAGACTCTCAGGTAGGGCAATGCTAACATGTGCTGCAGGCAGCAAGTCGACTGTGGCCTGTGTGTCAAGACACGTCAGTCTGAGGTTTAAATGAACCATGGAAAAATCCTCATGGAAATAATCAAGATTTGACCCAAAAAATCACCTCTCCCTGGATGACTTGAAGCTCAGGCTCCCCCAGATTTCTACTCACTGTGGCAAGCGTAGCCACAGCCGTGACCTCACTGGATCCGGAACCATGCGTCCTAGTCATGCCCAGCTGGCTGGCCACATGTCCTGCTGTGCCTCACCCATGCTCTATGCCAGGCAGCCCGCCTGCCCACTTGCTCTCACCCACCCCCCCAGGCACGCTCCCCACCTGCGTCTTCTCCCTCCAACCTGGAGGCATCCGCTTTAACCTTTGCTGGGCCCACCCTCAGGGTCCCTCTGGCCCACCCCAGACCTCTCCAGCGCCTCTGGTCCACGCCAGCCTTGCCTCCCTCTGCTGTAGTTAGCACCATCGAGTTCTGTGCGGTGTTTTTGTGTAATTGTGTCACACCTGCCACTTGCCTCTCTCACGCCAGATTGACTCATGAACAAATTCATCAAATCCATGAATATGAGGGGTGCTCGCTCTGTCTCCCAGCCTGGGCACCAGGCACAGTGTGTGCCACACAGGGGTGCTTGCAGTGCCCCATCCTCTAGATGCTTCACCCTGCATGCAGAAGCATGCTGGTGAAGATAAACTCTGCCTGCACAGCACACAGCCGCTCATGCTGGAGGAGACTGTTGCCCACGGGTTCTGATGTCCTTCCCATTGCAGCGGGCACACTGTGTTGATAGCGCCTGGACTGAGGATCTGCATCCTTGTTTTGTGTGGGTGCTCAACATGCTTGATTGCATCATCAGCTTGTCGAGCAGATCTAGAGGGAAACAATGGTTGGTCCAATGTCCATGGAGCCCAGGATGATGCAATCAAGGATGTTGAGAAGCCAAACAAAACAAAGATGCAGATCCTCAGACCAGGCGCTCACAACTCCACATCCAGAGACAAGTTCAGCGCCCAAGCCATTTTCAGCTACCATTAAAAACTAGTGATCTGGCAGCACATATGCCTGAAAGTGTATGTGATGCCTGGGGAACTGAGTGTGTTGGTGAATGGCAACATTTGAAAGGGCCAGCACAGGTCTTCCAGATTCAAAACGACTCCACTTGGCTCATTCAATTCACATACCATCAGCATGTCGAGCAGATCTAGAAGGAAACCCTGTTTGGTCACTTATTGTCCAATGTCCATGGAGCCTAAGTGTGCATTTTATTTTACTAAGATTTATTTTTATTGGAAAGGCAGATTTACAGAGATACAGAGAGACAAAAAAATAGACCTTCCATCTGCTGGCATACTCACCAAGTGACCATAATGTCCAGAGCTGAGCTGATCCAAAGCCAGTAACTAGGAGCTTCTTCCAGGTCTCTCACGTAGGTACAGGGACCCAAGAACTTGAGCCATCCTTTGCTGCTTTCCATAAGCAGCCCATAGGCAGAGAGCTGGATAGGAAATGGAGCAACCAGGGCATGAACCGGTGCCCACGTGGAATGCTGGTGCTTGAAGGTGGAGAATCATCCTGTTGAGCCATTGCAATAGCCCCTCAGTGTGCATTTTAGAGTAAAAGAATTCTTTAACAGTTTATTTTACATGAAAGAGCTACAGGAGGTGAGGGCAAGAGAAAAATCTTTAATATTCTGGTTCACTCACCAAATGCCTCCAGCAGCCCAGGGCTAGAGCAGCCAAAGCTGGGACATGGAAACTGCATCCAAGTCCCCCATGTGGAGGCAAGGACCCAAGCATGTGGGCTGTCCTTTGCTGCTTCTAGGAAGTGCATTAGCAGGAAGCTGGATCAGGAGTGGAGTCGTCAGAGTAGCTATGACTAAAGCCAGACATCCCAACATGGGGTATAGGGATGCTGAATGGTAGCATAATCCGCCGTGCGTAGACCTACCCCCAGAACATAATTTTTCAGTTAGTGCTATGCTCAGAGTCAGCTTGACTTAGCTCTTTAAATTCTGGAAGTACTTTGGGGCCTGTTGGAATGAGGGCCTCTCTGTCAGGCGAGGTTCTGTACATAAAAAGAACTGATAGGAGATCATGTCCCAAGCAGCAAGGTGGAAGCGTCAGCCCCACAGCTGGTAGGTTCACAGCCCAAGAAGAGCTCGTGCTTCAGTTCAAGTCCAAAGGCAGGGGCAGGCCACATCTCAGCTCTGAACAGACAGACAGGTGGACCTCTCTCACCCGGCTTCCCCCTCTCCATTGCCATTTTCAGCTTTAGCTGATTAGATGAGGCCCACTCAAGTTAGAGAGCAGTCTTCCAACCTAAATGGTCATCTCCACCATCCCAACCATTCATGGCTGCAATGGGCCGGGTGTTCAGGCCCTCTGGGGCCCATCGCATGGACATGTGAAGTCACTAACTTTCATACCCCACTGGGTTCCGAGTGGACTGAAGTACCCAGGCGAGCTCTCAGTGTTTCTGTGCAGTTAGTGGCCACTTTCTTTGGGGAGTTTTGGACATTCATTCCGGCGTTCCATTTGTGATGTCCCTTCTCATCCTTGGAAGGGGGCGCAGCGGGCAGGAGGCAGCAAGTTGGCTTCCCTAACGGCCTGTCCTCTTGCCGAGATGGTTTTCTGGCCAAATCAAGGCCTGCTAAGAAACAGCTTGCCCAGTTTGTGCGTGTGTTTGACTGTCTTTCAGGACTTTGTTTAGAGAAGCTGCCTATCTCATCTTCCACCAGTAATCTCCACGTGGACCGGGAACAGGACATTATCACCTGTTATGAGAAAGCTGGGGACATCGCCCTCCTGTACCTCCAGGAGATAGAAAGGGTAAGTGAGGCCTTTGACTCGCCTGCATCTGGGGACAGAGCTTGGGGAGAGAATGGTAGTGATGCTGAGAATATTTTAAAAATCATCAGCTCTGTGTTCACAAAACATGCTAGTGGCCTCTGAGCAGAAGTGACGGTAGGCATCTGCTCACACCCTCAGAATCCTGTGAATCTTCATTTCAGGCAAGATAGGCTCAGCCCCATGCATTCGTATGTAGACTGTGTATCAGCTGGTGTTCACCCATAGTGTGAAAGGCTATGCCTTGAGGGATATGGCAAAGGTGGACACTTCAGCCGGCCTGCTTGGAGCAGCTGTGCATCCCTTGAGGACATCTGTCAGTGCAGGGAATGGAATCAGCAGCTGACAAGAGCTAAGCTGGAGTGAGTAAGAGCAGCAGGCCGGTTGGGCACGTTAAATTTAGAAGGGTCCTTATCTTGGTTCTGTGCTTCCTTGAACTCTCAGCCTGGCTTTTTTTTCCCCCCATCTGTGAAAAGCATTGTGTGAGTTCCTGCTTCAAGGAACTCTGGTGGGGATCACATAAGGTCATGTGAACACAGGCACTTAGCCCAGATTTGAGAACACAGTGAATGATCAGTAAATGTCACCTGGGTCTGTTCATAACAGCTTCCTGCAGTCCGCACTGCTAGTAGAGCTTCCTGGAGTGCTAGCCAAGGTGGACACTGACACTGACCCTGACCTAGACATCTACCTGCAAGGTTGCTAGAGGTGACCAGAAACCATTAAAATAACTAGATATTTTCCTTTTCAGCAATTCCCCGAGCTCTCTGTTTCCAGATGGATTAAAATGAAAAGAGACCAGCAGAGTCTCTTGCTAGTTTTGGTTCTTCACAGGCTGCGAGTCACTGGTGGTGTGCCCAGTGAGGATGAGAACTGCTCTGTACGAGGCAGAGGGGGCAGAAGTGGGGAATCCTGGAAGAGCTGGTGGAGAGTGTGGCAGCAGCACAGCCTCCACATTACTTCTGTCTCCTCCTTGACTGCCGGCAGGTGACAGTGGCCGAGTCTACTTGTCCCAGCTAAGCTGTTGTTGGTGACCACACAGCCCAGGCCATGTAGGGGCCCTTGTTCTGTGCCTGAGTCTCCCAATGTCAGCCTGCTGCAGCAGGTTGGATGTGCCGGCTCCGGGCTGGGGAAGGGAGCCTCAGCTGCCAAACTCAGGCCAAGCCGCCTTGTGGCCATGACACATTGGACAGGTGACTCAGCCTCTGGCCGCTCTAAGACGGTGGCCACAGCTGCAATGCAGCCACTGTAGGGTAGAGTGGGTGAGTTCGTGTACCTCCCAGGAAGCTGTTAACACACGCCTCCATGCCAGCATGTTGTCGCTGTTGTTCTGTCACTGGCCGTGGGAACTCCTCCTACCTCATGCAGCTCCAGGTGTTTAGGTACATGTGGGGGCTGCCACAGCCTGTTTTATTATGAATGTCTGGGGGCTTTAGAGCACTATTTAAGAAAACTTTGGTTTTTCTCTTACACTAATGCTTACAGCACCACATTTTGCCTGGAGTCCCTGTAATCTGGGTTCTGGATTTCTATATCTTCCCATTGGACCTTGGCCCGGTCATTTGCTTCCCTGGGCTTCAGCTTCCTGTCCTCATGCTGAGTGGGTGGGGTGCTGATTCAGCCTGGCCTGGTGGGTGAGAGCCAGTACCTGCTGTGGTGGGTGTGGGAGCTCTGCTGCCCCTCGCCCTGACTCCGGCCCCAGGTGCAAACTTGGAGTGAGGCCTGAAGAAAAGGTGAGCACGTGAGCGGGTACCCACAAGGTGGCTCGGCCTGGACTCCCACAGCGGCGGATGCTTTCCTAGGAGCTCAGCTGCCCCTCACCACTGACATTTAACCAACTCCAGGGTAAGCTCAGGGTGTCCTCTTTGCTGCCACGGCCTTTCCAGGGAGAAACCAACCGTTGTCCAAGGGCATGCTCATCACTAGAGAATCTCAATATCACCAAACTCACTTGTTATTGGAGAAACTCAGAGGACAGTGTCTCCTCCAAACCCCAGGGTTCCAGACTGCCCTGCAAGGTCTCCCCAGAATGTCTGTTTAGGGTTGTCCTTGCTGTATTAGGTTTGCAAAGACTGATAATGTGCTTCCATAGTTTGCTTCCTGAGAGGAAATTAAAGATGCATGTAAAATTGTGCACATCAGATGGTTTAACCAAACATATCCAGTTGGAGCAGAAAGAATCAGAGATGAAGTGGGTGGCCTTGAAGGGTAGAGCTCCAGCCAGCAGCGGTGCCAGCAGTGAGGGGAGTGTGCCCATGGGGCAGCGAAGGGAAGAGCAATGACTTCATCCCTGAGCCTCAGATGTGTTAACCTTTTACCAAATTCAAAGTGGCTATTTTCTTAGTTATTAGTTTTCCATTTTCAAGTTGCTCATGAATTTTGAATCCATACATAGTTAAATCTAATTGTCTTGTTTACATTTCATTTTATTTTTAGGGTTTGAACGTTGAGATAAATACCTTCTAAGATCTGACAGTTTTCTAACACTGTCTTTCATGTATTTTAAGAATAACTTTTAATTCAAAAATTTGTCTGAAAGTTTTTTGGTTTATGACATTAGATAAGACTCTAATTTTCCCCTGACTTCACTTGAAGATGGTCTGATCTTTTCATAATTTATGTCATTTATTTTTAGTGATGTGATAAAATTTTAGATGCTTATTTCTAGCTTTCCTAGTTTACTCTTCTAGTCTTGCATCACTCTTCTGTGATGCTGTTTAATAAGGACTTGCCTGTGACCATTATTGATTGGCTTCGTTAATTTAGATAATGATATTGACTTTTTCTCTCATCCTCTCCCCATTTTATCAAGATTTTTTTGTCTTGCAGATTTCAATGTCTTCCATTTTTATTTTGCTTTGTGGTTAAATGCACTTTTCATGTTCACATTTATGAGGCCTTATGATTTGTACCTCATGTACACAAATGTTTATTGAGGTTGTCTGTTCTCCTTAACTCCTAGGGCTGCAGAATGAGGAAGTCACAGAGCATGCTCTTAAGAACTGTGCCTTCTCAGGAAGACACAGGTCATGGCCGGCGACGGTGCATTGGTGGGGAGCACTCTAAAATTCTCCTGGTGGAGGGGCTTGGTCCAATCTGCAAGTTCAGGGACAGCTCCTGGAGTCTTGTAGGACGACAAGGATAGCAGTATAGAGTTATCAGCTGTAACACTGAACTCCTCTCTCTCTCTCTCTTTAATCGGAAAGTCAGAGCCTGAAAGAGTGAGACAAAGAGAGATTTTTCATCTGTTGCTGTTCTGATGGAATGTTTGTTATCCTTTCTTCCTTCCTAATATTTTTCTTTCTCCATCGTGTCTTTCTCTCAGACTTTCTAGAGCGATGTTGATGAATAGAGGTGGTGTGAATACACTTGGTCTGGTTCTGTTTCAAAGTCACTCTTTATGTCTTCATTATGGGTTACAGGTTTATATGTTCATCAGGTTTCTCCTTTGCAACGTAGCCAAGCCCCGTGAGGTAGGTAGGAGACGGGCGAGGACAGTGTAGAACCGCGAGATCAAAGAAGTCACAAAAATGGACAGTATTAGAAACAGACCTTGGACCTGGGGCTTTTGACCCCTTCTCCTGGGCATGGGCTTTTGCCAAGGCAAGCCGTACTTGGTAAGGACACCTGTTGGCAATCTTCCTTTGGGGAAGGGTTTATCTCTAGAGCAAGTGGAAGTTTCAGGACTACCAGGAATGTTGCTGCCCAGGCACCCTCTGTGAGCAGAGGGTTAAATTAAAGATTTTGCACACTGTGCCTTCTGCTTCCCTTCTTGCATCTTTTCCGTGTGCTGCAATTCAGATAACAGTTAAGTATCTCCAAAGGCTTATGTGTTTCAGGCTTGATACCAACATTTTGTGTTAGTAGATTGGGAATGGAAACGAGTGCATAATGGATAAAGTCACTGCCTGTGACACCAGCATCCCATATGGGGCACAGGTTCAAGTCCAGGCTACTCCACTTCCCATCCAGCTTCCTGGTAATGCACTGGGGAAAGCAATGGAAGATGGCCAGGGAGAACCAGAAAAAGCTCCAGTCTCCTGGCTTTGGCCTGCCCCAGCCCTGGCCATTGCAGCCATTTAAGCAGGTGACCCAGTGGTTAGAAGATCTCTGTCTCTGTGTCTATCTCACTCTGTAATGATTTACCTTTTAAACAAATAAATACATAAATTTTTTATTTAAAAATTGGAAGTGATCTCAGTATGGTGCCTGAAGATGGGACTTTGGAAAGAGATTGGATTGGATTAGGTTGTTGGGATTTGGGGCCCTGTGATTGAGTCCTAGAGCAGCCATATGGAGGGTGGGTTCCCCCATGTCTCTCTCTGCTTCCTGGCCATGAGCCAGAGTACAACTTCCTTCTTGAGTAGGTCCTTCTCACAGGAGGCTCATTCTGGCAGCCCTTAGCACTTGTGCTTTAGACTTTGTTCTGTACTGTGTGTGGCATGAAGTGACATAGAGGAAGAGTGACAAAGAGCTGGTTCCATGGAGTCCAGTGGGCCTGGAGTTGGCAGCAACTGGGACACTTGCTATGTAGTCTCAGTTTTCCCCAAGGAAAGAGAGGACAGTAGTGTCTCAGTAGGTTTCTAGGGGAGCGTAGTTGGGAAGGCCTGTGTAGCTGTATATTGCTTAGTGCATGTTAGGTCCCTTTCTGGTTGTCTTGTTGTGCACCTGTGATTGGTTCTATACTTTATTCACTCATTAATCTGCTATACATAGGGAAAACTTACCTGCATCAGACCCTGCTGTAGACATTGGATATACGAATACATCAGTCAACAATGTAAATGTGACCCACGGCTTTGTGGTACTTGCAGCACAGCAGAGGGAGACAGCATGGAATCAAGTTAAAACAAACAAAAGTACAGTGTTAAGTGTGGTGGGGAAATAAGAAAGAGTAATGTGAGAGACAAAGTGGGGCAGGCCTCCCTTTGTTGCTCAGTTGAGGAAGTGAGAGTTGAGCTGGGATCTGAGAGCTGAGAAAGAACATGAGAACTTCCCAATCTGGGTTGTATCATCCACGTGATGCAGGCAGCTCATGGGTCGTGGAGGGGAGGAAGAAAGGCAAGACATGAGACTCCTTCTTAGAGGTTTCTGTAGGAATCAAATAGGAAGTAAGGTGGCTTGGATGAGGGAATGGGGGTAGAAATGTATATACAAATGGACCTGAGTGGTTAGGAGGGCCATGGTAATTGATGTGAGAGGAGAGTGGCCTCAGGGTGCACACCTCACTGTCTGCCGCTTACTGAGATCAGGAGGTCATGGGGAGAAGGAACTCCTAGGAGTACAGTCATGCCAAAAAGCTTCCCGGGGTGGGAGCTCTGTGGCCCCTGTCCCAGGAAGGCATTCCAAGGGCCAGTGGGAGTACCTAACAAGAGGCCCTTGAAGATGTGTCCCATTCACGGGGTCTAGGAGTACACACCTGGAGCAAGATGAGGCTGGGCCAGGGGATCAGGAGTCTTCTCCCCCCACCATCCACATGCCAAGCACAGTGCCCAGTGACAGTTAATGGCCTGGAACTGCTGGCAAGGGGCAGCAGCGTGGAGGGAGAGAGCACTGTGCTCAGATGTGCAGGGACTGTGCAGAATGGAGCAGAGAGACTGCGATGTCTCCATTGCCACAGTGATCAGAGTCGGGAGCCGCGGCAGGAGGGATGCAAAGTCTGTGATGCAGAAACAGCGAAGCCCAGGAATGACCAGTGTCAAAACTGTCAGCAAGGACTTGAGCAATAACCACCATCCCATGGGAAAGGTAGGTGGCATGCAGACGCCGATGGAAATGTCAGCAGGGAGATAGAAACTGTAAAAAAAAATCTACCTGAAATGCCCAGTAACAAAGCATTATGTGAGAGGTGAACTTTTTCAGTTGGATGATTAGCAGACTGGACACAGTTAAGACAAAAAATTTTCTGTTAAAGATAGGTTAATTGAAATAATTTACATGGAAATACAATTGAAATTTTTTTAAAAAGAGAGAAGGTGGGAGAGAAGCAGAGCAGAGTCTCTGGTGGACACAGAGAAACCCCTTGTGTGTGCTCGGAGTTCCAAAGGAAAAGAAGAGAGACACTGGAGCAGAAGAAGTGTCTGAAGTGAAAACGGCCAAAAAAAGTTTTGCATAATTGAAGCACAACAAAAAACCTCGTGTTCAAGAATCTCACAGCAGACACTCGGCAGGGCAAACACAGGAGTACACCTGAATGGTCAGGCTGGTGCAACACACACAATCTTGAAAAATAAACTTCAACTGCTGAGGCAGTAGGGATGAGAGTTACAACAAATTCATCGTCAGAGACATACACATATCTCCTTCTCTCTGCAAATCTGCCTTTCCAATTAAAAATAGAAATGGACTGGGATGCCAAGAAGAAGCTCCGGCCCCTGCAGCTAGTGACTCTGATGCTGGCCCATGGCCTTGTGCATATGCTGATTCTGCTGCTACCGTCTGATGCCAGAGCAGCCTTGGCAGTTCTCTTACGTGCCTGGGCCCTGTGTTCCCTCAGAAAAAAGGGGGCCCAAACTTACAAAATGCCCTTGCATTCCAGCACCCTTGCTTTCCCCACGCCCTCCTCCCAGCTACTTGGCAGGTCAGAAGGCTGGAGTTACTAAACTAGTAAACATGACCTTCAACTGCTGGTCTCTCCTCTGCTCTTGGGGATTTCCACTAGCTTTTGTCAAAAGAAATATTGGTGAATTTTAAACAGCTGATAAGCCAGCTATAAATAATACTCATTTTACACTTTAGCAGTTATAACAGATGCTTTTTAAGCATTTGTTATTTTAGAGTAATTCATGCCTACAAGCCAGTTTTCATCCATCCCCTTTATACTGGCAGAGAGCTCCCTCATTGATAATTTAGCCAATAAACTCATTTACTGTTCCTGAACTGAGAAGCTGCATTCTAAGTAACCTGTCAGGAATGTGCAAAATGATGGTCTTTGTCTCAGAGTTCGTGGTCTATTTAGTATGCAAGTTTTTCTTAATGATGTGTTTGATCTGACTCGTCTTTCAAAAAGATCGTAACTGGGATTGCAGGCATATTTGAAGTTACACGATGGATAAATAGGAAGTTGTCTATAAATTCTATGTCTTTTCATGTTAAAAAGAATGAGTGTATTATAACTTTATGGTGAATGCAACCCACATGTACAATAAATCAGCCTGTTAAGAAGAATTTCTGCCTCTATCTATAGTTGCTGCTTTATTCTGAAACCAGAAATCGCCTTTGTGATTGATCAGATATCAAGTGATCGGTCCATATTTTTGTAATTAAAACTTTTCAAGTCAGTGATTTGAAATTCAAGTAGCCAGAAAAATAAGAACAAATTAAAGTTGAAGAGCAAGTTAAGAAGGAAAGAAATAATAGCCTGGAGATCAATGAAATACCAAACAGAGAAAATAGATGAAACCCAAAGCTAATTATTTGAAAAGATCAATAAAATCCACAGAGCTCTAAGGTGAGGAAACACACATGAAAGAAAGAACACAAATTACCAATATCCATAATTAAGAGGGAGTCACTACTATAGACCCATAGACACATAGAGGCTGTAAGAAAAAATTATGTGCCTGCAGAGGGAATAGATAACCTGAATATAAGTAACCTTATATCTACTCTTTAAATGAAATTTGTAGTGAAGCTGTCCTCAACCTCATAAAGAAAATTCTAGACCCAGCTGACTGCTTTGACAGATTCTGTACCATTACTTGACAAACTTCAAGAAATAAGAAGAAACACTTCCTAACTCATTTTACGAATCAGATGTAACTATTCCTAACAGAAGACCAGCAAACTGGATTCAGTGACATATACAGAAGGCCCTCAACCTACAGTGATTTGACTTAAAAATGTCTAACTACAAGGACGCATCAACCTGACAGTGTTCAGTACAGCCTGGTGATGCCGGGTGGCAGCAGTGAGCCACAGTGCTGAGGCAGCCAGGCAAAGGCCGGTGTCGGAGGCCCAGGATGTCAGAGGGAGGCTGCTCTAAGTCAGGCCTCTCACAGGCTAGGGGCATTGAATGCATCTCTTACCTACGATATTTGCATCTTACAGTGTTTTCCAGATGCCATGACTAAGCGAAAGTCCTTTCAGGAATGCAAAGTTAATCTTACATCTGTGAACCCAACAATGGGGCACAGCATGTGTTAGTATAATAAAGAACAAAAAATATATGATCACCTTACTCAGTAGAGAGGAAGAATTTCAAAACATCCAACACCCATTCCTGACTTTAAAATATACAGCAAGCTGGAAATAGAAGGGAACTGTAGCTTTTTTCAAGACAATTCAGGGGATCTGTGAAAAACCCACACCTAGCAACACACTTAATGGTGAAAGACCAAGTGCTTTCCTCCTGAAATTAGAAACAAACTAAGACTTTGTGCTCTTGCTGTTTCTTGGTATGGAATGCATAGAGTGCTAGGCCTTTTAACCAGCACAGAGAGGGAAGAAAAACAAAGAAAAGGCATGAAGATTGGAAAGGGAGAGAAAGGAAGCATACTCAAGATGGGGTTCTGTGCTTCTCCACACCAACACACTGTGGAAGAGGGGGGATGCCTGGACAGTGTAGGGGTGGAGGGAAGGAACCATGGGGTCCCACTACAATGTGGGGCTGTGGACTGAACACAGGGATGGCTCACCTGGGTCTTGTTTGTGCTGTGGCTTCTTTTTTTACTCTGAGAAGCTCACAGCTTAGAGGGCCAACAGTTCAGCCTCACCTCCTTGGGGGTATTTGGAGTTTGGCTAATTACCAGGTATTTTGTAGAATTGTTCACTTGCAGCAGATGTGGCCAACACACTTCCAGAGCACTTGGAGTGGTTTTAAAACAGGCCACAGCAAGTTCCTCTTTGACAAATGCTTTCTTTGACTTGTGAGTTTAAAGTGAATAGCAGGTGTGCGCTTGCCACCCACTGTCACCAACTCAACTGGCGGGACTTCTCCTGGGTCCTTGGCAGCGTTTCTTGCAGGGCTGAACATTTAAGCCTTTAAAGCTCTGGCATCTGTTGACAGGAGGGCAAGTTTGATAAGAGAGAGCTTAGCTGTCGTTCTTAGCTCTGCTGCTTAGTCTGCAGCCCTCAGCTTTATGGCTTGGGCCATTGGTCCCATCCAGTTAATCTCTGGGTGGGCGCTGGGGCCCTTTCAAAGCTCACTGAACCCATGGGGGGCTGGGCCAACCCCCTGGCACCTGACACCCACTTTTGCCCTTGACTGGGTCCTGTCTGGTCCTGGCACTCAGCAGAGCCTCTGTCTCTAACTCATCTCCTAATACCTCCCCTGTGTCTTCTGTCCCTGGGCTCCCAGTGACAGGAGGGTACATGTTCCCTTTGGTGGCCCAGCTGTGCCCTGCCCTGCAGACGTCACCCTGCTCTTGGGCCACCTTACTCCCTACCTGTGCACTGCACGGATGTGTGTGTGAGGAAGCCAGCTCTTCAAGCTGTGCACATAGACCTAGGGTTTGGAGGAAGTGGGCTCGAACGTGCATCTGATTAGTTTTCCCGTTTTCTCCCCTTCCAGGTAATACTTTCTAATATTCAGAACAGAAGCCCCAAGCCTGGCCCTGCTCCCCACGATCAAGAACTAGGGTTTTTCCTAGAGACAGGACTTCAGAGAGCCCATGTCCTCTATTTCAAAAATGGGTAAGCTGTCTTCATTTTTATTAACCACGCCCTGAAGGAGAATAGAAAGCCTTTTCATGCTGTCTGCAGGTTAGTTACGGTAGTAAAGCAACCTGAAATATGAACTGGAATTGGAACTCTATTAAAAAAATAGAGACAAAAAGAATGAACATTAGCTCTTTTTGTCTCTTGTGCCCCTGGTTGTCTTGCTTCCCCATGAGATTTAGAAGTGGGAGAAGGGAGGGAGGAGGGTACCCACCTGAGTGTGATTTGTAAGCAGTGTTTCGAGCATCCTAGCCTCAGAGCAAGTGAACAGCAGCCTCACTCTGCCTCTGTTTGCAAGATCTTCAAACTTTGGGGCATAGCTCATGCAAGTGGGATTTTATCTGCCTGCTGCTTGGAGCCACCTGCATCCATTTTTCCATTTCTTGAGAATAAATGCTCATTGCCCAAATTCTATCAAACTGTAGGAGGCCTGATTTGTTCCTTGGGCCTCTGATGAAGTTTGTGGAAGACCAGGTGAAACACCCCAAGGTTTGGAGCAGCTTGGTGGCTTTGGCACAAAGCTGTAGCTCACACTGGATCTTATTGCTGTTGACTGTGATGTTCTGAGCCATAGTGCATGTCCCCTGCACTGACGCCCCCCGCCCCACCCACCGCCCTTGCTGCTGAAAGTAGAGGGAGAGACTCAGAGTAGCTCTCTAGAGACTGCTTATTCCCTGCTTTTGCCTTAAATGTGGTCAGCAGGCCCACCCCTTCCTTGCTTACCCCCTGAGCTACCCACGTGTGTGTCCAGAGGTAGCAGTTCATTCTCCTGGGGCACCAAACAAGAGCATCCCTTGAAAACGCTTTCTGTGGGATGGGCAGGGGTGGGGAGCTGGAGAACTTGATTTTATCTGTGAAATTTGTTACTCCTCATAGAGAAGAAAGTGGAACTCCTGGGCTCTGATGTCAACTTGAGAAGCCTTGGCTGGGATTCAACAAATAAATAACAAGGAGTGACTTGCACTAGATGATGGATGGGCCATGTGCAGTGGGCTTCCTTCTGTCTCATTCCTCTTCTGAGCATTCCCCTGCCCCAGGTCCAGGACAATGAGCGAGGATGTTGCTGTCGGGACTGCCCAACTTGGCAGCCTTCTCGCTCCTCTTGTCCTCCCTGGGTGAGCTCTGAAGACCAGTGATTGATCAGCCAGGTTCTCTCAAAGATGCAAGGTCCTCAAGGCTGAGACTGGGCCAAGACATTACTGATAGGCAGGTGGAGGTGAGGGCCAGGAGGGCCCAAAGCGTGGACTGAAGGAGATAAAGCAGAGGGAGGTTTGAGGCCTGCCACGTACCTCAGGCTGCCTGATGTACACTGGGAGAGCCACTCGGGGCCTGAGCAGCGCACAGGGGAGGGGCAGGTCATTTTTCAGTGGACCCCTGTGTCCAAGCTGGCCAAAGGGGGCAGAACAGAGGTAGCCGCTGTCCCTGAGCCCCAGTGGCTTCCTGCTTTCCGTCTTTTGATGTATTTGCACCTGTTGTCTCCCTGTTTTGCTTTCCTTCATTTTTCTTGTGTGCATGTGAAAGGATACAATGGACAGGATGGACTGAGTTTTAGTGGTTGGAAAATGCAGTGTGGAAGAGCTCAGCAATGCAAGAGCCAGAAATGATAAAACACATCCTTCTTCTATAGGAAAGGACTTACATACGTACTGTTGTTGCATCTCCCTCTGTGACAGCCCTCCCGTCCTTTCCTGCCAGAGTGGCTGCCAAACTGGTGAACTTGAGCATCGCTGTCAGAAAACCTGATACCAGGACCAGTTCCAGGTTCTTGTAATGCCTCACATCGGATCCCAGCAGGACAGTTGTTTATCAGGTGTTTTGACATTTTCATTGGTCCTCACAATATCCTCTCCATCCTCTCCCCACAGCCAGCCTGGGAAGTAGGCAGCACCAGACAAGTTGCCTCTGTGTGAGGAGTCTCAGAGTGGCTGTGTCTTGCTGCAGGTCACATAGCAAGTCTCACCTGAGCCCCAGGTGCTTGGCTTTGTGGTACCTCTGTGCCACTGCCAAGGAAGTGCTGTCCGTGACTGCGTGGAAGGGCTCAGTTAGCCCTTGTCTATCACCCTGACTCTGGGAGGAAATGCTTAAAAAAAAAAAAAGATTTTATTTATTTGAAAGTCAGAGTTACATATATAGAGACAGAGACAGATCCCCCTGTCTCCCAGACCTGAGCTGGGCTAGGACTGTGGTTGTCGGGGCTGAAGCTTGGTGGGGATACAGGGGCTGCTTGGAGAGCATGGTCTCTGCAGGCAGCCCCTGGGGCCCAGACCTGTGAAATGACACATGTGCATAGAAAAAGGAGAAGTCCCATCCTATCTGATCTGCAAGCAGGCCAAGTGTCCCCTCCCCAAGCCCGTCAGACTGTGGGGAGCTGTCTTGAAACATTAGTAATGTCTGCATGCAGCTGTATGCACATGGGAGCGGGGTCCACTGGAGCTGCAGCGCCCCTGCTTCTGGCTCACACTCAGCCCAGCCCTTGCCTGCTCACCTCTTCCCTCTCCTGGTCCCCTGGCAGCTGCGCTCCGAATGTATGAGGGGCAGCTGGTGGTGGAGACCCCCGGTTCTCCTTCAGTGGCATGGCCTGTCTGCCCTTAGAAACCATCCCTGTCTGTCTCTCCACTCGTCTTTGCAGTTATTTTTCATTAGCTCTTAGAGGCAGTTGCAGAGAGAGCACGCATGAAAGTCTGCAAGATGACAGAGATGCCCTGGGAAAGGGCATGCCTTGGGCATGACTGGAGCCTTCCCCATGGGCAAAAGGGGCTGGGCTTGTCCCTCAGTGCCCCCTTGCTGTTTGTAGGGTACAGTCTGCCCAGCAAAGTCCTACCCATCCTGTAAGGCAATCTGGAATCTGACAGGGCGAGCTCTTGACCAATCCCTGCATTCAGTGACAGGGTTTTAAAAAAATAATTCTTGTTCTTAATTGACATTTGGCCTTCCCACCTTCCCCTCCATTTTAGGCTTACATTTTAACTTTCTTTTCTCAAGTGTCTTTGCTGGTGGTGGTTTCGGTTTGGCATGAACATTCTGTACCTTCTGTCTGCCAGCTCCTCTTCCTTCTGCCTGCCCTTGGCATCATTTGCATGCTCTCTGCCTCTGTGCGGCTGACTGACAGAGGAGGTGGCTGCTTCTCCCTTGAAACTCCCTGACAAATTAGCATCTGACACAGTCCCCCACCCCCCATGTGCTGGAATCAAATACCAGGAAGAACCCGAAGCCATGTTTCTTCTGAAAAATAACCAGGAAAATTCATTAGCCAGAGTGAGGGAAGTCTGACTTTCAGATTTTTTAAAAAAGCAGGATGCAATTATATTGCTTTCAAGTACATTTTGAACTAGTAGATTTAAAAAAGAAAAATAACCCCAACTATTGCCTACTCAGTTGCATGAATGTTTATTGCAAGCCTGCTGGGTTAGTTCTGGAGATATAACATAAATAAAAAAAAAGTTCTCTGAGTTTATGAGGAAGATGAACATTATCAGCAGGAAATTGTAATACTTCTTGGAAAGTATGCTAACGGGGCCCGGCGCGGTGGCGCAAGTGGTTAAGGTCCTCGCCTTGCACGCCCGGGATCCCATATGGGCGCCGGTTCTAATCCCGGCAGCCCCGCTTCCTTTCCAGCTCCCTGCTTGTGGCCCGGGAAAGCAGTCAGTCGAGGACGGCCCAAAGCTTTGGGACCCTGCACCCGGGTGGGAGACCCGGAAGAGGCTCCTGGCTTCGGATCAGCATAGTATCAGCCCGTTGCGCTCACTTGGGGAGTGAATCATCGGACGGAAGATCTTCCTCTCTGTCTCTCCTCTCTGTATATCTGCCTTTCCAATAAAAAAAAATAATAAAAAATAAATCTTTAAAAAAAAAAAAAAAGAAAGTATGCTAACGAAGGATTGTGCTAGCCGAAGAGGATAGTTTGGATGAGTTCATCAGTTGGAGTCCATCAGAATGGAACTTGAAGTTGGTCTTGGAAAGGAAGTTAAAGAAAGGGGGAGGAGGACTGCGGTTGTGGTTGAATGCTGAGTCGACCAGGCAGGTGCATTTTGGGAGCCTGTGAGGGGCACTTTGTAACAATATGATTAGTTTTGTTACTCAGAAACTTAAAATATTTGAAAAGCAGAATTACTGAAAGAGGGAGAGACAGAGAACTCTTCTATCTTTTGAGTCGCTCTCTAATTGGCCACAGTCACTGGGCCTGGGCCAGGCCGAAGCTAGAACCCCATCTTTGACATGGGCACTGGGGCCCAAGTACTTGGGCCATCCTCCACCGTCTTCCCAGGTACAATAGTAGGGAGCTGGATTGAAAGTAAAGTGGCTGGAACATGCACTAGCACCCGTATGGATTGCTGGTATTCAAGACAGTGGGCTTAACCTGCTTCTTTTCTGCTTAACATGGGCTAAAGCATTTGAATGACCATGGAATGTTTTGTTGTCTTCTGTGTCCTTGAGAGCTAGGATTCTTGGTATGGGAGAAAGGCAAGAAGGACTTGAGGCTAAAGAAGCCAAGGAAAAGGCATAGTCTTGAATTTGACAATGGGATGGGTGACATCAGTATGAAGTCACAAGGTGATTGTGTGTAGGCATGCATGCATGTATTCACATGCACATGTGGTCGGGGGCGGGTCCCCCTGGGGGAGAGAGAGGAGTCCGGCTACAGTGACTCATTAGCCCTGAACATCCTGAGCTTCTAGACTGAGATTTGGAAATGTCATTTTCCAATAAAAGAAGCCTCACTCCAGTTCTGGGACAGGAAGTATGTAAGATGAGCCGGGAGCATCTTTGCATCCAGGAGACTATCAGAGATTTCTGTGTCATGTTAGAAAGGACTCAGGCCAATTATGGGCAATTTGAATTTCAAGAAGTATAAAAATTGCACTAGAGTCATCAAATATATTTAAATTTATGAGTTCTAATTCAGGATCTTGAAAACCAAGTACTTGGAAAAACTGGACCCCTTCCTGCATGCAAAACCAAATGGCAAGCAAAAGGGA